CTCATCCAGGTGTGCGGTTGGGCTGTCCCTTACACCTGGTTCAATACCGGGTGCCAAGATACAGCCATTCTAGCTGCTGCACCCTCCTTCCGTAACCATACCCTCTCCCTGGCCTTCCTCGGGCCAGTCTGCGGGTCCCAGAGTTCCCTGTGCTAATGCACAGGGAAGTTCAAAAGTTAAGATCTGTGGGGAAAGAAGGCAGATGCTCCTATTTTATCCCCAACAGAGAAAGCCAACAATTGGTGAGGCTTCACTCCATACCAGGCACGGTGCTGTCACACACATAACCCCAATAAATCCCTACTATAGGGTGGTAGCTGTGGCTCAAGGAATAGGGCGCCGGCCCCATATACCAGAGGTCATGGGTTCAAACTCGGCCCCAGCCAAAAACTGCAAAAAAAAAAAAAAAAGATCCCTACCATATTCCCCTGAAGCCAGTATGATGTTGATCCCATTTCACAGATGAAATGGAAATTCCTAAAATCCCCATCTTATAGATGAAAGGGACTCAGGCAATGACATAACTCAGCCAAAGTCACCAGCTAGTAAAAGTGGGAGTCAGGACGATCCCAAACCAGTGTGATACTGCAGCTGGTAAGTTTAACCACCAGGCCACTGGAGCTCACTTTGGGGGCTTGGCTGCAGGAGAGGCACCCCAGGTCTCAGAAGATTCAGACTTGGAGATGGAAGAGCCAAGGAGTCCCTGGGGGCTAACAAGGTCTAGCCAGGCTCCCATGCTGGCCACACACCCACTCTGGCCCTACTGACCACTTCCTCTCACCTCTCTGCCACCTCCCCTGGGTCCAGGCTGTCACTGTTGGCCTGGACTCTTGCAATAGCCTCTTCACTGGCTTCTCTGCTTCCTGCCTTCCACTCATATCCCTGCCCCACAAAGGCTACTCTGCACCCAGTTGCTGGACATAACCCAGCCCTCTGTGCCAGGCACCTGCCTCCTCTCCCTGCAGCCTTACTGGCGTCCACACGAAACCCTCCATGGCTCTTCAGAGCATCAGCATAAAGCCCAAGTCTTCCCGAGTCCTAAAAGGCCCACTCTGACTTCTAACCGTCAACTGCAAGGCCGTGCTGGCTCACCTGCCTCATTCCAAAGTGACTCTCGGATGGCCCTCAAACAGGAAAGACCCCTCCGAGTTCTCAGCCTGTGCACCTGCTCCTACCACTGCCCAGAGGGCCCCACCCCCAGCTCGCCACGGGGACAAGCCCTCCCATCCCACAGGTCTTACTCAAGTAGCACCTTCCTGATGAGCCCTTTACT